ATATCATATGTTAATGATGTATGACTATTAAACTATTATTAATTATTAAACATTCGCACAGTTAAATGGTCTCGGACATTGTGGACAATTAAAAACACATACTAACCACTTCCATTCTTTGGTGGTTATGTAAATCCAGAAATTTGTGGAAATTCAAGAATGAATGGCTGCCTCCTCATTTGATTGTCTCGGCTGGTAGTGGTGATTGGATAGAGTTCTCTCATTGCAAAGGATCAAGAACTTTTTGAAGATGGTGTTTGCTGCTAGGTCCATTTATGGTTGAGTTGTAGCTTCATCGGTTAATATTTGCTGAGTTCTTGTTCTGTATTTGGCTAGTCTATTGGCAGGTAAGACTTTGTTGTTTTATTGTTATCACTTTAGGTCTCAGAGATCTTTGTGCCTTTAGTGATGTATCTGCTATGTTTGTTCTAGAGCTATTAGTTGTTGCTCTCTTAGTATAGTTCTCTGAACTTGGGCTTCTCAGCTCCCGGTTTGTAATTATTTTGTTGAATATAATTCTATCGGTTGAAAAAAAAACGCGTGGTAGTTGTGTATTTGCCGCAGACTAGTGAAATATAGCATAATCTTACAACAATTTGTGAAACAACTTCAGATTACAGTCATTACAGAAATTATGCACAAGGTAGCAGGAACACAGAATTGAAGTCATTAAACAAACAAAACACATCTTCATCAATAACAACAACGTTCATCTCCAGCAAAGTTGTGTCATTCGATGCAAATGTTTTGGGCCCTTTTAGCAAGGCTCACTTGGAATTTAAAAATATAAGGCTCTTATGGTTTTTCAGTTAAGATTTGAAGTGGACATGTCAATTGTGAAGATAACAAAAAATGGAATTACATTACAACTCGTTCGACTTTGTTATGAAAATGAATTGTCCACATTTTCTTATCATAATTATACTCCCTAAACTTGGGTTAATCATCTATTGGACCTTATTCACCTCATGACATGTTAATAAAATTTACTATATAATACCCCATCATTTTCTAGACTAAGATTATATGTTATATGCACATAGAACAAAAAAATAACATCAACTTTACTATATAATACCCCCATCAACGGCCAAACTCAAACAATACATTAAAAAATAACACCACAGTGACGGTTTCTATCTCATTTTTACTATGTTCCTAATGGAAAGCAAAAATCCTCGTCGTTTCCAACTTGAGACTGTGACGGTTGACTGTTCAGTTTATTTGCTTGACAGGTAGTCGTTTTATGCCCGAGTTCACTGCAAATTAAAACTCAAGTGGCATATCATAAGAAACATATAAAGTAAAATGCTCGTAAAATAAACAATTTCAATTGTAAGTTGTAAGTTGTACGACACGTACCCGCATGATTTGCACTTTTGCTTTTTTGCTGGTGGTGCCCCTCTAGACCTAGCCTTAGGTGGGTCGGCTGAGTTTTTACACTGCTTAGAGCCCCGTACCGGATCCTTCACAACTTGTGATCCTTTATCAAAAGGATCAGTTGATATTACATCATCATTTAATTCTTTAGTCTTAATGTTATCTTTAGCACGTTGAACTTTCTTCAAACACCTTGAAGTATCTGAATCAGTATGTGACGCCTTCATACACATGTCAATTGATTCGTTATACAGTTCGAAATACCTTTTCTGTTTAGGATCAGTAGATGCAGGTATGTAGTGGAATTTTTCTCTAAGTTCTTTACCCGCCAATGTCGTCCACCTGTCACATATGCATTCTTTTGGCACTTTTCGAAGCTGCAAATACTTAAAAGCAATAATAAGATGACTGCATGGCAAGCCATCAGTCTCCAACATTTTACATGCACACTCAAATTTCCCTTCACTCAAATTTATACGGACCGTCAACTTTCTTCGGTCTGGTGAAGCATATTTTTCCATCGTAAAGACATGTGAGGCTCCTTCCATCTCATTCGCAAGTACAAGATTAGTCTGCTCATTCTCGATCTCCTTACGAACTTTTGCAAAAACTGAGTGTGTATAGATTGCGGATAGCTGTACCTGAATACAGTGTAATGGTGCTCCAAAGGGAATGTCAGTTGGGTTCATCTCCGAATCTTCCTGTTTCTGAAAAAATTTCTCACGCAAAGATGAAACGATACGATAGAAACTTTTTAAAAGCTCTGTAATCGTCCTTCCTGATGTGCCTCTATTTTTGAATAGCGCATTTAACGATTCCGCTCGTTGTGTTGTCCGTGTCATCCCCATGAAGTTTCCTCGAAGATAGGCATCGCACCATTGATGTCTTCTTTTAAAAGTGTCTTTCACCCACTGATTATCCGACACACCATGTTTCACCGTTTCCATTTCCCATTCTGTTTCAAATTCCGCAGTTGTCAAAGTTTTTGTGATGAAATTCCCGAAGACTCTGCAAAAGTCATGGACCTTCACTCTTTGGACACAATTTCTCTGGAGATGCCATGAACATAGCCTGTGTTTAGTAGCTTCGGGTAAGGTCTTTTTTATCGCAACTCGCATCGCCTCATCTTGATCAGTCACCACTGTTTTAGGCATCTTTCCTTTCATTGCCGCAATAAACGTCGTTAACAGTCAGACGTATGATTCGGAGGTCTCATTATAAAGTAATGCCCCACCAAATATTGTGGTATTTAGGTGGTTATCTATCCCAGAAAATATCACCAGCGGGAATTTGTAGGTGTTTGTTTTGTATGTGCTGTCAAAAATTAGAACATCGCCAAACTGCATATATGATGCCTGGGAAAATCCGTCGCACCAAAAAATCTTGGTTAATCTCCCTTCTTCGTCGCAAGTTGTTTCAAGAACCAAGTTATGATCGTTTATCCTCACTCCTTCAAGCATAGCAACAGCAGTATTGAAATCACCATTGCGCATTGTATCTTTCCTCTGCTTGTTTAGGTAGTTGTAAGCATTTTTCTTTTTGTAATGTATGCTTGTAGGATCACCAGACATATTTCCAATGTAATTCAACGACTGATAAGTCCGAATGCCGGCATCATTCATATTCGTCAACTGTGTTTTTTCAGAATGTGTGATTTGCCTGCAAGATATACTAAGATCGATTATAGGCATCATAAAATAAAATTACATTAATGTTTGTTCCAAAAAAAAAAAAAATGGTTACCTGTTGCACTTAAGACGGTGTGCTGTTTCCGAAGTCGCAAGAGAATGATTGTGTGTCGTATTTAAATGTGTTATCTAGTACACTCTGCCACTGATATCATGTGCAATATGTAATCCAGCTTTGCAGCCACATCTCATGTTTGGTTTCTCCTTTCGAATTAATTGTATTCCGTCTGATTTTTT